TGCTGAATAATATCCCATTGTATGGCTGTACTAATTTTATTTATTCAATGATCAAGTGATGAGTATTTGGGTCTCTATTTTTTGGCTCTTAGGAACAATGCTATGAACATTTGTGCAAAGTTTTTGTATGAACATATTTTCAGTTTTCTTGGGTATATAACTACATATGAGAGAATGACTTTCATTTGGCAGATATTTGAATGTTGTGTACTGACTGTAGTGCTGAATGCTAGGTATGAACAGTGGACAAAAATAATCCATCAACAGTTCCATCATACGCCAAGGACCTATTCAACCCGGCAAATATTTACTGAATACTTACAATGTGAATGGCACTGTGCCAGATATGACAGCAGACAGAGATAGGAACAAGATATAGGCTAGCTTTTCAAGAGGCAATACATAAACTCAAGATGTAACAATGACAACAGCAGCAGCAGCATTGGATATTAAATGCCATAGGAATAATACAAAATGTCCTGGAGGGTCAACGGACAGAACAAAATATGGTTAGGAGAGTGGAAAGTGAGACAGACACTAGAGAATACTTGCGTTAAGTTAAAGATGTTACTTGAGACAAGTCTTGAAAGAAGGTGGTATTTTGATTAAAAGGATGCCTAGGGAAAGAGAAAGTGTTCTGGGCAGAAGATAACAAGAACAAATATAGAAAGGCTGGAGAACACACTTAGGAATTTTTTTCAATCCAGTTAAGAAAATGTAAATGGATATTGGAAGAAGGATCCTGAATGTTAATCTTAGATTTAAATGGGTTCAGAAAAATGATTCAAAAGTCTACCAATAGCAATTGAAATTACTGAACTGATTCTATAACCTCTTTTTGAAACTTTCTATTTTCTAGCAAGAGCATGGAAATTAGTGATTCCTCTTACCCACAAGGAAGAAAATGTAAATGTTGACCACTAAGTGAGCAAGTAGATGGGGGAAGGCAGAATTTCTGTAAACATAGGGCTGTATCCCCATACTTCTGGGTCTGTGGAAGACTAAAAACAGACATATATGCAAATCCCAATAGCCAGAATAGCAAAAACAAGACTGGGAGTAAAATAAATAGCATTCACTAAGCTCCTAACATTAGGCACTGTGTCAAGTAATTTAAAGATTTATTTATTTATTTTATACAAGGACTGGGGTGCAGGTCAGAGGCGCAGGAGGGTGAGAGAATTCACCAGAGCCAGAGCGGGGAGCAGAACAGGCAGACGGACCAAAGACACTGCTGAGGGGAACAGAGGGCGAGGCAGGCGAGGTCTGCTGTGTCATATGGGGTTCTCCCTGGCCGGCGGGGAATCGAACCAGCGCTGCAGAGGCTGCAGACAGCTTTGCAGCACCGCACTCAACCGCTGCGCCACCAGGGAGGCCCTGTGTCAAGTAATTTACATGCAGTATTCATACAACCCCATTTAGGTTTATGGCAACTGAGGCTCAGAGATGTTAAATTAAATTGTTGAAAATTACCCAGCTAATAAGCTCAGCCGATAAAATGCAGACGTCCAGTTTAAAACCCAGTCTGACTGATCCCATGTTCATTTTGGGTTTTATCATATGAAGAAGGCTAGAATCACAGGATGGTTATAATGCATCAATGAAGAGGGCTGAATATTTCAGAGAGGTTTGTATGGTCTGGAGCAAAATTTAGCTGAAATAATCAAAATTTGGTTTCCAATCAACACCGAAAAAGATCATGTTTAGAGCTCCTTCTTGACCCAGTTTTAACTATGATCATATCATAGGTCTTGTTTCAGACTACAAAGGGAGCAAAATTCCAGTTTTGATTAGAAAACAAGAGAGTAAACACCCTGATGTACTCAATGAACAGTCATGTAAGTCTTATTTGAACACTCTTGAAGGCCCTGAAATAGAGGTAAAGACTGCAGAGTAGTAAGTTTAAAAACCATCCAAACGTTAGGACACGCTCCTTAACACTCAATACCTGGCAAAAACAACCACCAAAACATAAGCATATAAAAAAAATCAAGTTATAAAACATTAGCATGATTTTACAAAGACAAGGTAAACAAAAGAGTGAAAAGACACTTTTGCATTATGCATAGCACTAGCACTCTGTGTATAATAAAATTTCAGTGAGGTGGAACCCAGGATTTTGATCTCCTGTTTTAATATTACAAATGGGTCTGCGCAGAGTCTCCAATGAACGTTTTGGAAAAAGAAAATGGGTATTTAATCTAAACACTCTAAAAATCGACAATTTCTTATAGATGGCAAGTAATGGAACAAAATCTTAAACTCAAAATAACAAAGTATACTTAAAAAGTCTTTTATTTTTCTAGTTTGAGTGCATACTTCTATTGGAACAAAGAAAACTACAACAAAGAGAACTGAGAAGAAAAAAAATCTTGGGAGATGAGCAAGTCTTTCCACATAAACACTTTTAAAGAGAATAAAAGAAGGTTCCATGGAACTTTGCTCTATTTTTCACAAGCATTTCTAAAATTTTTTCTTTGATGGAACCAATGAATAACTGCCACTTATCATAAAAGATCTTTCTGATATGTGCTCTATATATTTTCTTCTGAGCAGATAGTTTTTTAAGCTGCTCAAGTCCTTCAGCTGGAGGACTTTTTTAGGAATTTTTATTTCTACTATACTACATTTCTTGCATGGAACAGCACAAAGACCAATGTAATAAATTCCTTTGCTTCCCAAAGACAACTTTTAAAAGGCACTGTTACTGTAGCACAATCAATATTGTAACTATCTTACCTCTTTACTTACTTCAATAATTCCTAACACAATAATTTGCAAGGGTGATCATATTTTGTTCTATATTACAGTAATACAGAACACTTTCTCTCTCTAATCAATTAATAAGACTTGCTTGAGGCAGTCTACGCATCCTTAATCTTCTATTAATGAAAACAACATTTTTTTTCTTGCCTTTTTGACTACTGCCTAAACTCTAGTCTTTTAAGAGATAACTCATTCATTTTAGGGTCTCAGATTTTTTAAAAAAGATTTATTTTATTTATACATATAAGAGCTGGGGTACAGGCCAGAGGTGTGGAGGGTGAGAGGATTCACCAGAGACAGAGTGGGAAACAGAACAGGCAGATTGACCGAAGTACACAGCTGAGGGGAGCAGTGGGCAAGTCAGGAGAGGTCTGCTGCGCCATGTAGGTAGCTCCCTGGCCGGGGATGGAACTTGCGCTGCAGAGGCTGCAGACAGCTTCATAGGTTGCGTCTTAACACCCTGCACCACCAGGGAGGCCCTTAGTTTTTTTTTAATGACTACATAAGTTTAAGCATTTTTCCTTACTGTAACATTTTAGTTTAAAAAACATTTTATATAATAATAAACTCTAAAAAAGAACTACAACTAAAATAATTGCAAATTTAAAAAAATAGCAAATTCTGAGATTAGGCAACAATCCCAAAGGGAAAATCACACAGGTTTTTATTCTTTATAAAAGTATTGGAGGATATTACAGCTCACTTATTATTCTAAAATTTATTCTAAAATTGTTAAAGTTGCTGAGATTTTCTAAGTTCCAAATAGATTGGTTCCTTCAGTGTGCACAGTCACACTCAAGTACTGTGGTATTTGAAAACAGAAGTCAGGTAGGCAACATAGTTGGGTATTTATTACCTACACGCATATAGTTTCTTATACAACACTGACAATATGGGAAAAACAAGGTTCTTACTCATCCTTTGTTGTGTGTGAGTCAATTTCCTCTCTTAAAATCTGAACTGACTGGCTGAGGATTGAACTCATGTTGCAGAGGCTGCAGACAGCTTCATGGGTGTGTCTTAACCCCTTGCTCCACCAGGGAGGGAGGCCCACCAGGGCGGCCAGGGAGCTACCCACACGGCACGGCAGACCTCTTCTGTCTCGGCTGCTGCTCCCCTCAGCAGTGTATTTCAGTCAGTCTGCCTGTTCTGCTCCCACTCTGTTTCTGGTGAATCCTCTCACCCTCCCGCGCCTTGGCCTGTACCCCGGCTCTTCCATGCAAAATAAATAAATCTTTAAGCTGAATCTTCCGTTCCTTGCCGCATGCTTTAAAAAACCACAAAACAACCTGATACCATTTTTTTCGATCGATGCTGAATTTCATCAAATTGCAAAGGGGTGTGGATGTGGAGGGGGGCGGATGTACTAAAGCATAACTCACAGGTGCTACAGGTAAGCCATAGGTAAAGGATGCTTAAGGCTGAGAATGCTGCTCTCGGGCGCAGGGCGGCCCGCAGCCTGCCAGCAACAGGTCGAAGCCCCGACGACACCTCTCCCGCGCGGCCAGGCGCCGCGGAATCCGGAGTCGGGGGGCAGCCGCCACCGCCCCCGGTCAGGCGGGGCAGAATTGGGAGGCAGGAGGGCCGGCGCGCGCTCAGGCGCTCTCCAGAGCGCGTCAGGAGAGCCTCGTCGGGGCCAGACCGTCCGCCCCGCACGCAGCACAGAGCGGGGCGCCGAGGCGCGCGGCGCGGGGACCCGCCCCACTGCTCGCGTCACACCTGCCCGCGGGGCGCGCGGCCGGCCGGGCGCAGGGCTCCCTCGGCGACGCCGGGCCGGCCGGCTCCGCGGGCGGGACGCGCCCGGGCTCCCGCCCCCACAGGAAGTGGGTGCTGCCCGGCCCCCCGCGCGGCCTCCCCTCCCCCAGCCGGAAGTGCGGCCCCCCGCTCCGAGGCCGCGAACCGCGACGACCCGGGGGCGGGGGGCGGGGGGCGGCCGCGAGGGCCGCAGGGCGCCCCGCCGCACCCTCGGCGCCCCGCTCACTGACCTGCCGGCCGCGGGCCAGGGCGGGCCGCGCCTGCGGGGGCCTCGGCGGAGCGCGAGCCGCGAGCCTCCCGGGCGCCCGCGCGCTGCTCGCCCGTCGCCGCGCGGGGCGAGAATTCCTCCGCAGCTCGGGTCTGGCGGCCGCGCTCCTCCGGGCTCGAGCCGCCGCCTCCCCTCGCGCCAGGGCGCGGGCCTCGCCTCGGGGACAGTCACCCCGCCCCGGCGCGGGGAGAACGCGCTTTATTCCCGATACCTTCAGAAAATGAGGGGATTACTTTGTTCAAATGTGGCGAAGGGCGACGTGGTCACGCAAGGTGAGCCGCGCGGGGGCTTCTGGGAGATGTAGTTCCGGCGCCGGCGGCCGCCCGAGCTCGGGCGCCGAGGTCGGCCGAGCGCGGCCCGCGGCCGCGGGAACATGCTCCGGGGGCCCGGCTGGCTCGGGGCTGCGGCGGCCCCTGGGCCGACGCTTCATTCCTCTCGCTCTCAGGGGCTTAAGCGAACCCCTTTCCCCTCGCGCCGCCCCTGGCGCGGCCCCGCCCCCGCGGCGGCCCGTCGCCCTCCGGGTGCCTCCGCGGGGAGCGCGGGGGGCGGGCCCGCGCCGGCTGAGGCGGCCGCGGCGGCTGAGGCGAGGCCGGGCGCGCGCGCTCGCTGTCCGGGGGCGCGCGGGCGGCGCGGGCCGGAGGCGGCGGCGGCGGGTGGGCCGGGCGGCGGCGGGCGCGCGCTGGCCGCGGCGGCGAGGAGTTCGCGAGTTGTTCAGTCCGCGCCAGGGCTCGGCGGCGGCGGCGGCCGCGGTCACCGGAGGGGACGGGCCGACGGCGATGGTGGTGCCCGCGGCGGCGGGCGCGCCCCTCAGGTAAACGGGCCGGCGCCCCGCGGCCCTCGGGCCCTGCTCCCCGCGGCGGCGGCGGGACCGGGCGGGCCGGGCTGGGCGGCGCCTGCCGGGGCTCGGGCGTCCGGCGCGGGCTGCCCGACCCGGCGCCCCGCCGCCCCCGGGCTCCGCCGGCGCCGCGCCCCGGGCGCCCCCACTTCCCGCGGCGCGGCCGCCGGCGCCCCCCGGAGGAGGGAAAGTTGGGACCCGCGCGGGGCGCCCGGGCGCGCGGGGGCTGCGGGGGGCGCGCTCGGCTGGCGCCGGGTCCGGGTCCCCCCGCCGCACCCCGGGGACCCGCGCGCCTCCCCTCGCTCGCGGGGGCCGGGGCACCCCGGCTCGCTCGCGGGGCCGGCCTCGCGTCGCCCCTTGACTCCTGCCCCCGGTGGCCCGGACCTCCCGCGCGGCACCGGCCGGGGCGTCCTCCCCGGGCTCCCCGGCGGCGCGGGGGGCGGCTGCGGGCGCCCCGGGGAGGGAGCCCCCCGCCCCCCGCCCCCCGCCTCCGGACGCTGCTCTGCTGCGACCCGGCGCGTTCGGAGCCAAGTTCAGGAGTTCGGGAGCCGCGCGGGGCGCTCCGGGGTAGCGGGGCTCGCGGCTGTGACCCATCCCCGGCCTCGCGCGGGAAGCCGGCCCCGGGGGAACGTGAAATGTTCGGAGACGGCTCAGGGGCGGTTTTGAGGTGACGGGGTGCGCGTCGCCGCTCCGCACCTGAGGTGACATTGCCGGGAAGGCTCCGCGCGGGCTTTCCTGCTGCTGAGGGTCCGCCGCGCCTCCCCCGGGGAGCGGGACGAGCTGGGGCCGTGCGTGGCCGGGGGCCGCCTCCTGATGCCCGCAGGGCGCAACTTTCCGGGAGCGGTCTCGGGGCGCGCTCCCCGCGGCGTCCCCGGGCGCCGGCGTGTTCCCCGCGGCGCGGCGCCCCGCCCGGCCCGACTACCTGCCGGGGCGCCGCGCCTCCCGCGGGGACCGGGGGGCGAGCCGCGCTGGCAGGTCGAGGCCGCTTTCCGGGCGCCCGGGACCTGGGGCGCAGCCTTGGCCCCGAGACCCGCCGTCGACAATGGAAGGGGAATTCATGCCGCCGCTGGGAGCTTTGGCGGTGACCAACGCGCAAACTATGTGCAAAGACAAACATCTTTCCATGCCTGTCAGAGGGGAAGAAGGGGAAATATTTTATCACATCTTTACTTTGGAAGCTGGTAACACGATTCTGTTACATGGGGGGGGAAAGCCACGTTATTTTAAGTTTTTTTTTTTTTTAATTTGTGGTCCTCTGCCCACCCCTGCCCCCCAGTCAAGGCTGACATTTCTGTTTGGCTGCGTTCCAGCATGAGAGGAAAAGTATTTTGGTGCGAGGAAAAGATAAGATTGCTTTGAACTATTATGGTTCTGTGACAATTCCTTTTACTCAGTGATAGTGCAGAGAAATTTCCTCGATATGTTTGTACCCCATTAACATTCTGTCAGGATTTATTTTTGAGTCTACCCTGAGGCCCATAAAGAAGTAATGCCAACTTCAAAACAGTTCCTGACAATCCCATTAAAAAAAATGTGTTCCTGGAATGCGTTATATTTATATATTCATATAAACATTTATCTTTGTACATTTATGGTAATGTAAATATTTAAGTCTGAGAGCTTAAAAACTTTTATTTGCATACATGTTTTCAACATCTAGCAGTGCCAGCCATATTTGCCAAATAAGCATCAACCATAAATTCATGCTTTGGCACATTGCATATAATAATTCTTCTAAATTGCTCCATGGTGAAGCATCATGAGATTAGCATTTGCTTCGTGAGGGAGATTTGTTGTTGTTTTTAACCGTAACGATGCACTGTTTAAGGGGAACAGGTGCTGGGCTCTAGCTGTGTGTGTTGAAACCTGCCAAATGATACTCTTGTTGGATAGGTTGTTTAAGTAATTTAGGAACCAAACTGTGGCCCCTAGCATACCAAGTAGGCTATCCCCATCACTGCAGTAGATCCCTGTTTTTTACTCTAAGAGGCAGGTGTTTGTGACGAGCTTTATCTTTTCATTGCTGTTCTCTTTGCTATAATTTTTACCCCCCACCCCTTCACTTTCATTAGTAGAGTTCCTGGGAAAGTCTAGGCTCCTTCACTGCTGGTTTGTTTTCCTTGGAGAACTAGAAATTCTAGTAACTTTCAGGCCAGAAATAGTTCACATTTATTTGACAAATATTTTGAGTGCTTTTTAAGTCGAAGGCATGGTGCTAGGCCTTGCGTGTACGTAGAAGGATCTCCCTTTTTGTAAGGAACATACAGTTCAGGAGACGTAGTTGATAACCAATAATTACAAAGTGATGTAATGTATGACAGAGGTATAAGCAGATTCCTAGGGATGGAAGCAGAGAGGAGGAGGGTTGGCGGGGAGGATTCTTGAAATGTATCTTAGTTGGTAACCTGAACTAATCTTCAAAAATAGATAGGATTGACTATGTTCAAAGAGGCAAAGATCCTTTTAGACTGGCATTGTCTTATAAAAATCTAATACAACGCACAAATGTAAGTCACATAGATGTAAATTTTCCTGGTAACCACATTAAAGAAGTAAAAAGTGAGGTTAAGTATATCAATGTATTTATGTAACCTGATGTACCCAAAATGTTATCATTTGATCAAGTAATCAGCCTTAAAAAGGTGTCGAGATATTTGACATTCCCTTTTCCATACTAAATCTTCCGAATCTGTTTTTTATTTTTATTGCCATCTCAACATGGACTAGTCACATTCAAGTACTCAGTAGCCTTAGATGGACAGCAGCACAGTTTTAGAACATAGGCCAGTGACATGGTAGGAAACCAAATCTCTGAATGCCTTTTAATCAAGCCCAGGAGCTATAGCTTTTTCCTGAAGACTGTGAAGATTATTGGGAAAAAAGTATGTTGCGATAGGCCTAAAGCAAATCTGATTCTATCATGTTGGCTGTGAAGTGAATGTTGGATAGAGGAGGGCAAAAAGTGGAAGCAAGGCCAGCCAGGAAGTCTTTCCTGGTGAGAATGAGGAGGTCTGTGGAACACGGGCTGCATGTAGGAGAGTCAGGAAGTATTATCAGCGGGACAGGGTAAATCATCGCATTATGGAGTTGAGCAAGATTGAAGATTTAGGATGAGTTCCACATTTATGATGTCTGAATGGGGCAGGAAACTGAAGGACCATCTGTGCCAGACAGACCAAAAATGAAAAAAGGAAGTGAGATTTCTCCGGGAAATGACGGGAGTAGAATATTTCTAGGATTTACTCAGAATGGCCCACACTGTATCTTGCCTTGAAAGGCCAAATAAAATAAGGACAGAATAAGGTTTCAGAGACTTGGGGTGTGGCGATTAAGATGTCACTTGTAACTAAGTAGAGTAGGTAGTTACATTGCGATGCATTGAGGGGATTGAGGAGTGAATGACAGAAGCATAACCGATTAAGAAGGATACAGTGCTTTCAACAAAGGACAGAGGCAAGATTATAGGTGGAGAGAGATTCAGGGAATTTATAAGTTTATCCCCTTCCTCCTCCCCTCCTCCCTTTAAAAATTGAGGCAGTATTGGGTGTTCAGTGGAGGGGAAAATTGAAGGAATCGGATGGGGCGAGGGAATGGGGGGAGAAAGGTGATTGATGGAGGCAAGAATTTGGAGCGGGTGGGATCCAAGGCATAGATAGAGAGATTGACCTTGAGTGGGAGGTGGTTTTCCTTTTCCAGGGTGCAGAAAAGGAGGTAAAGTTGGAGGCAGTGTAAATAAGTTCATGACTGACAGGAGCAGGTAGGAGAATGAGTTGGTGACATAGCTATCATTTTTGAGTACCTGCTAAAAGTGAGGGGGAAATAAGGGGTTCTTAAAATGTTACGTGTATTTATAATAGCTTGGGGGGAGGGGCCGACATTGAGATGGACACTTGACTAGGAAAATGAAGGACTGTTAAACAGCCTAGAGGAATCATTTGAGGGTATAGATTTTGGATTTGTAGAGGTAACAATTCATATGGTGTGATTCACCATCCCCCCCCTGCAGTGATTCCTCAGTGCATTTGAAGAAACTATTTAATGTTATAAGAAATAGAGTTAATGAAAAAGTAGTGCCTCATAAAGTGGCACTTGTTATTCTCCTTGATTGTTGTATGAACAGCTGGGCCTCAAATCCTTGTGGTTCAGTTCCAGAGACCAGGCAGCTACCCACTACTTTGGAGATGCTTGGTAAAGATTCCCGAAGGACAGTTATTGAGGGAATTAATGATACTGACTGAAGTGAAGAATTGTAGGCTCCATGCTCGATCATGAGCAGGAGACCTGGAAGGGGTGATTTGGTTGGGAGAAAATGAAGGGTATGAAAATCTAGAGATCAGTGTGAAATTGAAGAGATAGTAAGGAGGGAGCTATAATAGTGGCTTTTATTTAAGCTTATCTGCTGTGTGCTGGACACTTTAGTATCTTATTTCTAATTTTTTTTTAAAGATTTATTTATGCATGCAAGAACTGGGGTGTAGGCCAGAGGTCC